TCACTGTGCTACACGACAGCCACATGCCTTGGTCATTGTGCTCTTAGAAAAAATACTCCTGGTCTCAGAGAAAATGAACCAGGACAGACACAGGCTACCCTGGGGTAGTCCTGTCTTGACTGCCTGTGTTTTGTTCTGGCTTGAGAGCTGGGGCATCCACTTTTAGCCCTTTGGCTTGTAAAACTCCAGAGGCAGAATTGTATGGGGCTTGTGAGGGAACCTCAGAGTCCCCATGTTTAAATGAGCTTCTAGTTTCAGGACTCAAAAAAATTCAGTGTAGTACCAGCTGCTGTGTGCCTTAGAAATTCCATGCAGAAAACAGCAACTTGGGTCACTCACAAAATACCCTTGAAGGTTATTTCCTGAGTCCCAGTCTCATCCCTGGGGGGTAGAGTGGGGTGGGGAGAGCTTCAGCACTGCTGCCCAGAGGGTCCATCCTGAGGTGAAAGCAGGGTTGGACCCTTCTAACCTGCAGGGCCTCGAAACACTATTTTCATACACCTGAGAGAACTGTTTAAAAAAAATTTAAAGGCACATGAAGAACAAATACTATACACTTGATCTAAAAATTCTTTTTTTTTTTTGGTCTTTTTGAGACAGGGTCTCCCTGTAGCCCCAGCCATCCTAGAACTATGTAGACTAGGCTGGCCTTTAACTCAGAGATCCACCTGCCTCTGCCTCCCGAGTGCTGGGATTAAAGGCGTGCACCACCACACCCAGCCCTAAAAACTCTTTTTATTAAGTCAACTGGGTTTGGGAAGGGGGCTGAGTCCCTCAGTCCAACACCTCAGGACTTGCTCTCAGCTGTCTTTCTTGACACCAGCAGTGAGAATCTGGGAGCAGCACAGCACCATGGGTGGAGGCTCTAGGTGCTTTCTGTTGGCTCAGCTTTGCTCTCTGCTGGAGTCACGGACGGCACACACACACACACACACACACACTCGCACCCCCCCCCCCACAGAAAGGCAAAGGAGCAGGCCAAGTAGGATCCAGAAGGGCCATCCATGTCCTTTAAGAACAAAACAAACTCCCTCACCCTGTAGCCTGATGCCTATCTGTCTTTGCACACAGGCCTCTGGGGAGAGAGCTGAGCCAAAGCTGAGGTTTGGAAAAGGTTTATTGCATTGTTTCCATGTGGAAGCACTGACAAGAGTTGGGAAAAGGCAGCATGTCCTGCTGACTCCTGAAAAACCACAGGGCTACGTTAGCTTTCTCCCTACCCAGGACAAGAGTGTAAAACCCTAACCCCAACATCCACCCCCACCCCAAGCAAAAGTTAAAAAGGGAGGCTTGTGGTGACTGCTTAAAACCCACCAATGTGGAGGCCTTCATGGTCCAGGTGGGCTGGTGTGTTTAAAAGCGCCCCTTTCTCGGCACCGCTTCCCACCTCCCCTGGCCTTTCCCCAGCTGCTGACCAGTCCCCTCCTGTGAGACTGTGCACAGGAAGCACTTCCCAATGGGATAGCAAGTGTTTGTGGTGGGCTGTGGAGGCAGGTGCGTGGAAGTGGGAGGCTGCCTGGCAACTCTGAGAATGTTACTCAGTGTCCAGTCAGCCTGGTAGGTCAACAGCCTCCCGGGCTGAACATGGGTAAGACACGGGTCTGTGCACATTTGGTGGGCCTTAAACTCCAGAGCATGAGCTTGTGAAAGACTTAAAAAAAGGAGACAAGCTTGATGGCAGGCCTGCTCATTTTTACTCAGAATCAACATGGCTTGATTGACTTCTTACTAGAAAGGGCAGGAACTGGGGTAGGAATTAGTTGTAACATAGGAAAATGTAGTTTGCCTCAAATTGGATGTTTTTTCCTCTTTTGATTGTATAAGGCATTTTAGACTAGAAAACATCTTTGCTTCATAGTCTTCCAAATAACCAGAGGGTCATAATTGCCAATTCAGAATACAAAGACCCCTTCACCTCTCCCCGCCTCCCCAAATCATTCTACATACCCATGCCTATCAAATACAAGGCAGGCAATCAATTTTGAGAATGAGGCAAACTGTGTCCACTTGGGGGGAGGCCACTGTGCAAGGGACCTTCTGAAGGCTCCAGCCCCTATCCTGCCCTTCTTAGGCCTCAAGGGTTGGCATCATCTTCGCTGAGGTTTGAGTCCTGTGGGTGCCAGTGCTGCCTTGTGGGCAGGTCGTCAGGGCCCTCCTTGACTTTCCTACTGGGCCAGTCCGTGCACAGCATCAAGGGCCACTTGGTTAGTAGAAGGGGCAGGGCCTGGACAGCACCCCCCACATTAGTCACGTTGATAGACAGCAGAGAGGAAACAGAGGCCAGAAAAGTGATTTTAGACGGAAAAAGCAGCTTCGGTCATTAAAAAAAAAAAAAAAAGGATGATTTTTAAAAAATAAAATGTTTTTTTTTTCTCTGCAATGCTCAGCCATTTTACTGGAGACATAAAAAAGTTTTAAGAGTAGTTGCTTTGTTTTGCTTTCGGTCTAAACATTCATGAGAGCAGAAGGGATGGTGCTGTGAGGTGGTCTGAGTGGCAATGCTGGTCAGGGTCCTTCAGACCACATACTGGTACGGGTCTGCCTTCCCTTGGTCTGGCGTGGCAAAGGGGCTGGCCCAGCCTATAGAGAAAGGGTGCCCAAAAACAGCTTTCATGTTCATCCACTTTGTTTTTTTAGCCCATCTTCTCTCTTCCTTTTTCAATTGTTCTATTCCCTGAAAACAAGAATAATCACACTTTCAGTCGAGCACTTCACTGCTGTAGTTTTGGGGATGTCCACATGCACCAGTGACTGGAGCCAAGGCTTCCTTTTCAAAGCAGTAAAGCTACCCACACCATGCAGCTTTCTTCTGTCTTTCATAAGCAGCATCTAAAAGCTGTTTCTGGTGGGCACACATTACAAGCCCCTGAGAAGGGAGGGACAATGTACTCTTGTCAGGCAGCTAGGCTGTTGTCCGCCAATGAGACTGACCCTGTCTAGTCAAGGGGTCCATGTGCCAGACCTGGGTCCTCGCTGGGTCAGGAGAAACTCCAAGGTGCCTGCCTGTATGCACAGGCTTTAGTGAAAGAGCTCAAAAATTTGACAACCAATGATGGCTGTCAGGGTGGGAAAGGTGCACAGGAGCCTAGGGTTACAATGACTACTTTGCAGACAAAAAAAAAAAGAAAGAAAGAAAGAAAGAAAGAAAGAAAGAAAGAAAGAAAGGGAAGAAGAAAAGCAGCAGATCTGACTGCTCTGGCACCATCTACCAGCTCGGAGGGTCAAGCAGCAGCCTGCTGAGTGGGGCTGGCCAGACACAGAGGGAGAAGGTGGAACAGCTGATGAGGGGGAAATCACCACAAGAAGAAGGAAGGAAATTAATGCAGGTTAGAGAGGGCAGCTTGCGGCCTCAGTCATGGCGAGAGTCTTCCCAGCGTTCCCTTGGGAGGAGCATGGAGGCCAACGCAGTGTGTTCACAGCCTGCACCATGTCCCCTGCCAAGTGTCACAGGAAAAAAATAGGGGCTAGGAAGACTTTTGTTTCTGTCCTTCAGGTGGAGCTGTTGAGCTGCCAGAAGCAGACCAAGTACAGGCGTGCATGCCGAGGGGCTGCCTGTCAGGGGCCCAGCCAGGGCTCCATCTGCTGTGGTCTCTGGTAAGGAGTCAGGCAGTTCATGTTTTTCTCACAGCCTAGTGATCTGGGAGGACAGTGGCCAAGGAGATGACACCCTTTCCCCCAAGAGCCTCAGGCCCCTTTGTTCCTTTTCAATTCAATTTCCTTTAGGAATGGCCCGGAAGAGGAAGCATAACTAGGGCCAGCTATGTTTGTCTTCTGTCCCCAGAACGTTCTCTGGTGGACCTGGAAGTGCCCTGAAAGTGGGCAGGGCCTGACATCAGTCACCTTTGGGTTCCCTACGGGTCTTCTGTGGAGTAGCTGGTCCCATTTACCACTTGAATACATGCATGGCTGGATCTATACCATAGCTACTTTTACCAAAAACCTTTTGCAATGACTTTCTTTTTTTTTTTTAAAAAAAAATTACTATTTTTATATTTTTATGTGTATGTATGTATTGCCTGCATGTAAGTGCACCCATGTCATGCAATGCCCACGGAGGACGGAAGAAGCTGTCGGATTCCCTGGACTAGAGTTGCAGACAGTTGTTAGCTGCCATGTGGGTGCTGGGATTTGAACCCGGGTCTTCTGTAAGAACATTCAGTGTTCTTAACCACTGAGCCATCTCTCCAGCCCCATGCAATGACATTAATTCTTATAAATAAAACACGGTTGCTAAAGCCCCAACTTTGAAAGTACCAGGAACCACCCAAAGCACCCAATAGCACTTCTGTAGGGGGCAGCATTGTCCACTCTGCGCTTCTAGTTCCACAGACCAGGGTCACTTACAGCTGTGGGAGGACCTGTCTTCCATCTGACACTGGTCATGTAAGAGCCTGGGGTCCCCAGATCACAGCTGAAAGCTTTTACCTGGGAGAGGATGGTGGGCAGTGCTCGGGAAGCAAGGGACAGTAGTATGTTGAAATCAAGACCCCATGACTCTTCTACACACCCTGGGCAAAGTACTATCTGTCCCATCTTTCAGGACCCCAAAATGCAAAAGTCCAGAAATGCCTCATGACAGCTGCCTTGAGGTTCCTGGATCCCTTGAGAAGGCCAGGAGCTGACTACAGAACATAAGGGAAGTGGGTGGGAGGACAGGAGGGTGGGATGGGCAAGGACCAGAGTGTGCTGCCCTGAGGAGCTCGAAGCAGATCTGTCTCCTGACTCTGCCCTCAGGACCCAGACAGGATATATGGAAGCTGGCTTTGCTGGGGAGGTCATCTCCAGTGCTTAGCAGAAGGTCCAACAGGGCATAGGGCATAAAGGAACTTTGTTAAAGGCAATCTTCCAGCTAAAGTTATTACTAGGTAACCAGCTGAACCTGCACAAATATGACGAAGGGTCATTGGAACAGAAGGTACTGTGCTCTGCACCCTGGGCTCTCAAGTCTCACACCTGTCCTGGGTCCCTGAAGCCCTAGAGGAAGTGCGCACCCTGCTTACCGTCTCATCTGTGCAGATGGAGTGCACCTGGGTTCCAAACATCACTGACGTGAAAATGAGGAAGAGCAGTGCCTCAAAGCACAGCAGGATGAGCAGGATAACTGTGGTGGGTGGTGAGAAGGAGCTGCACTCTGCAAGGAAAGCAGCAAGGGCTTGTGGTGGCTGCTCAGCTCCTTACCCACCCTGCCAGGTCCCATTCTGCCTCTAGCTAAGGAATGTGGACTCTCTTGGGAGCCACAAGCTTCAGGCACCATCCTGTCCACACCTGTTACCTCTTACTCCCTAAAGAAACCCCCAAGAGGCTGGACCCAGTGGGACTTCCTCTCCTTAACTAGCCTCAGCCCTGGTCCACTATCCTCAGGTCACATAGTGGCCAGCATTGAAGAAGCCAATAAGGCCTCATGACACCTCAAGAGATGACGCCTCTTCCCTAGAAAACACAGAGCAAGCATACAAGTGCACCCAGTCCTGACCCAGCTGGGTCTTTCCTGGACACAGTACTGCCCACCTCTATGCTTCCTCTGGGTCCCAGGTGAGCGAAAAGGGCAGGTCTAGAGGACCACCTGTTATCTTTGGGATTCAAATGCAAGCTACTTGCCAAGGTTTGGCCTGACCTGTGTGTGGAAATGCCCCTTCCTGCCAGGGACATCTGTGTCATTGAGACTGTCAGTCTTCCAACTGGGAAGAGAACAGAAGCATTTGCACAGGGTAGGCACTTTCACTGTTCTGCTCCTGATGGTTGTGGCCCCAGATGGGTCACCTTTCCACTATAAGGCAGTCATATGTGACTAGAAGTATGATTTGTTTCTGAGCAGTGGGTTCCTCTGTCTGAACGAAGTCTAAATCAGACAACCAGTGCTCTAAGGTACTAAGGGAGATAGTGTTTGAGCAGGGAAGGGAGCCATGGGGAAACTGTCCTACACACAGAACATGCTTGGCCCAGCAATGGCACTGGCAACATAGCATGGCCCCTTGTTTAGGTTCATACAGATCAGACCTGCTTCCTCTACTGGAGAGACCTCTCAGTCCTTGATTATCCAGAAGGAAGGCCCTTTCCAAGCTGCCTGTCAGCTCCCTCCCAGGAATGCCAGAGGATAGGGAGGTGGGAATGAGCCAAGAATGATACCAAGCACTCGTGTGTGTGTGGGGG